TGCAATACGCGAGTGTTACGTGTAAAAAAATTCAAATCGAAACGCAACGAGGAAAAGTGATAAGACAGAAGCAGAACCCAGAGGGGAATGCTGACGATAAAACTAGCTCGAATGGAAGCGGCAACAGTGATGATGAAGAGCCACGGGAGCAGCAGGGTGACGATGTTGAAGAGGACGGCGACGAAGACGAAAATATGAATGCTGGGGAAGACAGCGCTTGCAATTATAGTAATCGCAAAGCAAAACCCACTTTTAAAAATCGCATAGCACTTAACACCATGACGCGATCCAAACGAAAAAAGGAACTTGAGCTTCAGCTGGCGAACAGCAAAGTGCTGCGAAATGACAAAATCATACGGAACTCGACAACAAAGATTAAGCGAAAATATGTACGTAAACTGGTGCCAGATTCTAAGAAGGAAATTATGATAACACGGCTGCGAAACAAACGCGATGAGCTTATCGACAGGGCCCCTTTGTCGGGACGTAAGCTCAAAAACAATCCCAGTCACAAGTCCGGCCGTCCGACCAATAACAAGACAAATATCAGCCAAACAAATGCAACACCACAGCAGCAGCTGTTTCTGGAGGAATATCGGTATAAGTTGGCACTTAAGATACCACAACGCTTGATCTCCATCAACAAGTTGAATAAATTGCCTCAAGTAGCGGCGTCCTTACCGGATCTAGACCGTGGTCGGTATCTCACTCAGGATATGGCTTCCTTTAAGCCCACTAGAGGGCGAAAGCCACGATCTAAACTACCGCAGCAGCAATCGCAGCAACAGCAGAAGACGACACCTAAATCTATTATCGATGTACTGCATCTCCGTGTTACTAGCAACAACAACAACAACAGCCAACAACAGCATACCAATAGCAATCTGAGCAACTGCGCCACAAGCCTTCATAATTATAGTGAAACCTCACAGACCTCCGCCTCGAATTCATTATATGAACACTTGCAGGAGGCGATGGAGCCCAGTATGGAGGATAATACCCTAGGCAAGCGTCACTTTAGCATATTCGATACAAAGGTACTGCAGAGTAAAACACGCACAGAATCCAAATTGCAGCAGCGACGCGAGATCATACGCGAAATATTTGTGGGCACAGAGCGGCCGGCCTCAGCACCTCCAGAGTGTGCGCAGCACGACCAGGCCGGCGAGGAATGCGCTGCATTGAGCTATCAGCAATATGAGGACTTTCTAGACCAAATGAATCGTATTGTTACCGCCAATAATAACAAGCTTTTCCGGCACAACATTAGCGGTGAAGCAGAGCAAAAGACAGAAACACATTTGCCCAGTCGACCCGTAGCCTATAAGCGTAAGTATTTGCGTCGCAAGGGAAGCTCTGGTTTCGACTATATACGTAAAAAAAAGCGCCCCACACATCACCATCAGAATACCAATACCAGCAATAGTACGAACACCATTAACACTGTATCGGGTGATCGTACGGCAACCAACATCTTTCCCACTCACACTGCATCAGCAACAGTGGTAGAAACGGTAACAGCCGATGATGAACGTCTGGATGATACCGACAGTACCATCGCGGGAAGCACATCCCATTTGCCGATGACGGTCAAGACAGAAATGGACGTGTGCCGGGAAATACAGAAGTGGGTGCTCAACAAAGGCGTTGGTCAGAGCACAATGCACAAGGCAGCACGTCAGGGTCTAATCGATGTGGTTGTCTACTGTCTGGATCGCATGGGCATGAATCCGAATCAGAAAGACAATGCTGGTTATACGCCGCTACACGAGGCATGCACGCAGGGTTGGTTAGAAATAGCCAGAATTCTGTTGCAATTCGGTGCTAATCACTCGGAGGCCGCCCAGTCTGGTATTCGACCTCTGCATGGAGCTATAGAGAATGACCATGAGGAGGTGGTTCGATTATTATTATCCTATGGCGCTGATCCGTTGCTGGCGACATACTCAGGTAAATGACAAAAGAAAGAAAAAATAAAAATTGTTTATTATTTATTATACGTTTCGGAATGATAGTATGAAAAAATCGGTCTAAAAGTTTCATGAAGAAAGTCCATCTACAAGAAAAATTATTAAACAATTAAGTTCCCAAAGTAAGCCCACACTGCGTGCGTACGTATGCCTATGTGTGTGCGTATGTATGTTCATGTGTAATTTCTTGTGTAAGCAGAAAGACGCGAAGAATTATTGAAATATCAATTCCTCGAAGGGTTTAGGTTGTAGTCGAGCAATCTCGCTAGAGCTTTCTTACTTGTTATTAATATTATTTTCAAAATCATCTATTGTCAATTTAAATAAGTTTACAAAACGCTTTCAACCATGCTTTTCATTTTATTTATTTGTAAGAAAATATTTAATCGATCTATATTTCTTTTATCTTAAAGGCCAAACCCCACTCATGTTAGCTTCAAGCAAATTGATGTTTGGCGTATTGAGCAGTCATCTCAGCGATGCACAAAGTGCGGCTGAGGACATAAAACCGATGAGATTTCCGGGACCCTGGGAGATATTTGGTAAACAGTAAACTTATAGATGTTGAACACACTACAGTTAAATAAAAATATAATTTTTACTTGCTTGCAGATGAAAAGGAAAATGGTTTTAATATTTTCGATAATTTACCGAATACAGCATGTGATATGAGCAGAGCTCAAGCAAGAGGCAGAATTAAGCAGAAACGCAGCCATGGCGACAACGACAATCCAGCAGGGCCCAAAACCGACAGTGAAAAAAAAAATATAAATGAATTACTGCGTGAGAGAAAAGATAGCAAGGAAACAATTAATGCAAATGGGGAGATAAATGCAAAGACTGCAACGAAAACAATAATTACATCAACAGCAATAGCTACAGAATCAGCAACAGCCGTTAAAAAAACAGAAACAACAGCAACGCAACGGCAAGTAAAATTAGAGCCTGGTGCGGGTATAGAGGATACAAACAACAACAATAATAGGAAGAATAATATTAACGTTGAGCAAAATGTAACGAGCGTTGTGAATGACAAGAATGAGGTCAAACAGGAACCGCAATATGTTGACAATTTGAATATAAATAGTGATGTGAAAGGTAATGGTATAGTGGATGATCGCAACGATCAAGCTGATGATGAACAGGAATACAATGACGACGACAGAGACGCGTTATCGGATGAATTGAACGGTGATATTTTTAAATTCGAAGAAGCCGATGTGCCCTTGCCACCACTATACTTGCTCAAAGATGAGGGCAGTGATAAATGGGTACTCCTTAATGATTTGTGCAATTTACTTAAGGTTAAGTCGAAGGATACTCTGCTCAATAAGGTAAGTGCACACAACAAACTGTATTATTGACACAAAATTGTATTGATTTTCTTCCTTTTTTTTTAAAGATCTGTCCAAACGGGAACAGCCAAGCCAGCAACCAGAAGCAACTGCTGAGAGAGTTCAAAATTGACGATTTTCTGAAACAGGCGACTTGTCTCCAGCTCCTGTGTGCCGGCGAGAAGTTGAATATGTTTAGCTCCTCAAAGGTTGTGCTCATCAGATACAACGATAGTGTTAAAAACTTGTTGGGCGTTAAAACAATTTTAATGAAATTTTAGGACGAGAATTTCGTAAGCTTTAAGACATTAGATAATACATTGTGCTACTTTAAATATATATATGTATAGGTAAGCCAATGTTAGCGGTCAGTGTAGTTCGTCTTTGGAAGACAGTCTTCTACGAAGCAATTAAAGCTAAGTGCAAAGTGATACAAAGGTGCTATACCCACACATTCAACAAAATATAAAAATGCAAGAGAAACACATAGACAAAGAATGAGCAACGCAAATTGGCAATTGATACCATTCTTTGACAAATGGAGCACCAGATAAATCGATAAATAAGCTACTCGAAATGTAAGAGACCTAATTGTATAATTGAATTAATGGGTTTTAATCAATACAAAGAATTAAATTATATTATATTAATGAGATAGAATGTAATTGCTATAAATAATGCAACAAAGGTGTATTTATGAATCATGTATTTTCAATTGAAATTATTACGTAGAACTAAACAACTATATATGATTAAACACTCCAGTGTGCATAAGCTAATAAACATGTTTAAACTTTCATCTAGATTTATAACTTTTTGATGTAATATTAAACTAATAATAAGAAATATTAAAGTAAAAAATCGTTTTTGCAATTTATATGGAACACGTAAAAGACGTGTATATATATTAATATGAATATATATATTTATATATTAAAATCTATAAATGTATATTAAAATTGGTGTATTATATTGTAAATAAGAAACAGCAAACATGTTTAATGATTATATTTATATGAAGAAGTGTAATTTGTAATAACACATATAAACGGAAATGCAAACTATTTTCTATCAATAAAATCTAAAAACTTTCGTGTTTTGAAGATTGTAAATCGAATCTTTTAAAGATATTGCCAAGTCTTTTTCCTTACCATTTTGCTTCAGAAGCAGAAATCAACAAAATAATTTTGATGTAGACTAAGAGTAATTAAAAAAAAAAACCCTTTAATTTTTGCCCGTTTACTATTTTTAATAATTTGTATTCAACACTTATTCTAAACCAAATTAAAATGATGGATCTAACCTGGTTGCCATTATTTTGTAAATATACTCTTACAAAGATTTTTTATATGTATTACACATATCTTTTAAAACAGCAAACGCCTTTCAATACTGCTTTTTGTTAAATTTTGTTCTAATTAAAATTTAAAAAAACTAAACGACTTGAAAGTTTGCCTATAAAAGCTCTGCAAGGTGGCGCCAGTTAGTTTAATTTTATTCCAATAGAGGCCGTTTTTACCAAAGCTATTGAGCACGAATACAAAGTTGATTTGACGTATAAAAGCTTTAAGCTCAAAGCTTGTGGTGGTGTCTGCCATATGATGCCGTCCTTGTTCTTCAAATGCGCGTTTAAAGGCCAAGAATAATTTTAGCATTGTTGCTGGTGCTTGCTGCCATTTACACGTCCTTGGCCCCGCTCCGCACTCGAACAATCTATCTCTTTGTACTTTTATGCTTGTGTTCGTATGCTGTGTGTTTGTATGCGTGTGTGCTTTCCTCTTCTTCTACCTACGCCAACAACTTCGCTACTCTTATAGTGTTCCCGTTTGTGTTGGCCTACAGACCTAATTCTTGCGTGTGTTGTGTGCTGTGCAAAGTTTTCCCGAAAAAAATCGAAATAAACAATAGATAGAAAGTAAAAGCAACTATATTCTATCAGCATGGCGCGTGTGGACGGTAGGAAAAGTGAAGCTAAAATTGTGCGAGCATTGCAGTTTCGAAAGAAAGAATAGCAACAAAATCAACAAAAATTGAAACGCAAGATGAAAATGTGTATTAATATACATAAATGACTAGTAGCACCAGCTGGAGCTATGTAATTTAAATAACGGTGGTGGAAGTTTTGTAAAGCTATCACATACCTATGTATGTATGTACACATTTATTTGTATATGAACGCTGATATAGTTTTTGTTCGGTCATAGAATTGGAGCAAAGTAGCTAAAAAAACAAAATTAAAGCGCCCCCTGCCAGCAAAACGCAAAACAACAACAGCACGTAAATGTTTGTAATTATATGTGTATAACTGAATACACATGTATGCGTGCGTCGTTCTCATGTGTTCGTTCGTTTGTGTGTATAGGGAATTGCAATTTGTTGTTTTTGTAGGAAGAGCTTTTCGCTTGTTGCGCGTGCTCGCCTTTTCCTTCGTTTCGTTCTCGTTACTGCCGTTGTGCAAGAAGTTTTCGCCGTCTGGCTCGGCATAATTGCAATAAATTTGCTTTTTTTTTTACTTATACACATGCATACATACATAGAAATAAGCAATAAACACCGATGCCATCGTCGCCCCATGCAAAAACAAATTCCATACGCGAAAGACAACAGCAAGAGCGAATAACGAATAGGCAAAATGAAAACGAAAGAATCAACAAAATTGGCGCAGCGCAAATAAGAAGAACATATACAAGCGACGAAAACAACAAGAATAATAAAAGTGAGCGCAACTGTGGTTGTGTGTGCCACAAAAACTAAAAATATGTTGAAAAAGCTCTTGACGACGACTTCGCAGCTGCTGCTGGCGCAGGCGGAAACTGCATCAGTGCTGCTTGTAGCAGAGAGATCGAAGCTACAGGGACAGCATGAATCACGATAGTTCTTCTTAGTGCGAATAACCGTGTGAAGTGTGCAAACAAATAGAGGAGGCGAACGGGCCAACAACAACACCGGCAAGAATAGCACTTTTGCTTTCGGTCCCAACTGGTTTTAAGAACGACAATAAGAAATATCACAATAAACTGTGCTCCCCAAAAGTCGTCAGAGTAGTATCAGCGTTTTTGTTGTGATCTGTTAAGCTGTTGATGTGGCGGCGCATGCGCTGCAGCAACACGTTGCTGCCGACGCCTCAAAAATAAAGCAAATTTATTGAGCATGAATGGAAGGTTTGTGGTTAATATTATTGTACTCTGTTTCTTTACACTGTATGACCCGCCCGCCATAACGAACTCTCAGATCTATAGAATATTTTTATACGTATTCAGTGAAATGAATATATTGTTTTCTTGTCCGTGTTAAGATAAATATATATGAAGACTTGCTTTAGAGCCCCGAGAGTTAAAACTGGAATATGTATAAATATATGGCAACCATGGCAAATTTACTCAATTGAGTATCCTGTACTGTATATTTGTGTCTTTTAAGGATTTGAGCATTAGCAACTAGTCAACTTGTTATCATATATGTCAAAAAAAAAAGGTATTCTATTAGAGTTATATATTCTTACATAGTTTTGAGCTGAGCCGGATTAACAAACAGACAGATAAGGTAGTTGCCTGAGGCCCCCGAAAAATGAAATAAAATTTTCTCACAAGTATATGCCAGGGTGAAAGATAACGAAAACGATGGCAACGGGCCTGTTGAGAGCGAATCCGGCCCTGGGCTTGCGGTTCCTTGATCTCGTGCTCTGCACACACATGCGTAACGGATGCGATAATCACAATTGTGAAGTGTCAATTGTGAAGTCTTTGTGACATGCACCACTGTGTATGGCAATGAGGAGCATAACTTGGCCATCCTGGTGAAGACTTCTAAATTTCCTGACCCCAATTTAAATCTTTCATAGTCCACTAACAGGTGTATATGTACAAAATAGTTAGGACACTGCCTTTTTTTTTAAATTTATTTAATTGTTGAGTCCGTACAATGCAAATATAGTAGCTTAACAATACAGTTAGAAAACATTATAAAGAGCCTAACCTTCTGATATGCACAGGAGGACTTATAAATATTCAAAATATTAGTAAACTAAAATTATCTAATAATTTTAGCAAACCCAATCGTTTGTCGCCTTAGTGGCCTCGCAGGGAGCAATCTTCTCGCTAGTCTGTAACGGTGGCTAGCCAGTATGTCACTACATCTGCTAGTGTGTCACCCAATCTATTCCTTCACTGTATACAGTTTCAGATCTCGATACAGGGTAGAGCCGCGCACATTCCATGGACAGTTTGTGATTTGTCGCAACACCCGATTGTGCAGGACCTGTATGCGTTTATAGTTGGATTTTGCGCATATTCCCCAAATCTGCACACCGTAGAGCCAAATCGCTCTCTTAGCTCTTAGTAACATGGTTCTTCGTCCGTTAACCAGCCACCGCAGTTGTTGCATGCTTTGCCCTCTTAGCCGCAGGTGAGAACCAAATTTTAGGCGCTTGTCAAGGGTGATGCCAAGGTACTTTGCCTGCTAAGGTTGATCCAGTGTTTCTTCACCTAACTGTATAGGCTGGGTGTGACTAATGAAGGTTTTCAGGGTTAAGCATTGGTTGGTGGTCGTCCATGGGTTTATTTTCAAATTCCATCTCGTACACCAAGCTGCTAGTGTATTTAAATAGCTTTCCACTCCATTTGCTGCCTCAGTGTGATAGTTAGATAGTTAGTCAGTGTGATAGTGCTATAGTTTTCTCGATATACAACTATTTATGGATTTTAGTTATTAAAGTACTTATAATCTCTATTGATATTGTAGGTATGTATGTACGTACATATATATATTTTAATGTCTGTGAAGTCCACAATATCGAACAACTTCAAACCTTGGTTTTAACAATTTATACAGACAGGAAAAATATGGTTATATATGGGAACAATATATACATTTTTCAAAAAGGAAGATTTGGGCAAGCGGGTAGTAAGCAACGGAACATTTGAGTTGAATGCTTGGCGCGTATTGATTTGAGGTACTGTTGATCGAGCCTCCAACACAAACTTGAGTGGAGCCTAATGAACGGATTGTATGTGTTGTAGAGGTCTTCGAGATGTGTTGTTTGGTTAGGTCTCTGACTTTAACTTCCAACTCCCTTATAGCGTTTTTCTGCATTTTTTGTATTTAAAAATATTGTACTTTTTATATAATTTATAATACCTTGATTTCTTTTAGTTGGAGTACAACGACTACTATAGTTACCTGTCCAACCGCATCAATTACACATCACTAAAACTTTAAGGAAAACAAAAATAATTAAGAGTACATCCCAGAAAGAAACATTTTACTATGGAAAACTTTAATGTACCTCTTCTGGCCGAAAGCAGTGGCAGTAGTATCGTTAGTTATGCCAGCGGCAATAACGATAGCAACAACCAACATCGTCAACACCTACAACAGCAACCACCGCAGCATCATCAGCAACAATTGCTGCCTCTTCATCATAAGGATCAGATGTTGGCCGCTGGCAGTAGTCCGATATTACCCTTCATTAACTATGCGCAGTTGCAAAAGGACACTCAGTCCAATCCTGAATCTAATCCAGTGGCTGGCAACTTTACCTCATTGCAGGCCATCGACAGCTGTCATTTGGATGTTGCTGTATCTTTGAGTGGACTGTGCGATCGGATATTCGTCAGTCCAAATCCGCATAGCAGCAACAGCACGAACAACAATCCTGCCGATGTCAAGGTATCAGAGCCATCTAGTGGTAACAATGGTCCGCTTATATTAGAATCAGTCACAATGTCATCGTTTGCCAATATACTGTTCAACAGCCGCAACAACACAAGTACCACTACCATTACCAATACCAATACTAATACCAATACCAATACCAATACCAATACCAATACCAATACCAATACCAATACCAATACCAATACCAATACCAATACCAATACCAATACCAATACCAATAACCCAACCATGGTTAACATTGAATCGCTCAATAGCATTGATCCACTGCTACTCCAAAAGTCACATCCAGTAGTGTACCACCAGCTAAATCCATTGAAAAATGGATCCGTCTCAACACGTGTTGTGAGCACATCTGGACTTTTAAGCTCCACAACAGCACAGCTGTTGGAGTTTGACGTAGTACCGAGCAGTAACAGCAAGGACGTGGTTGTGGCAGCTAGCAATGGAATGGCYGACACAACAACAACAACACCAGAGGCAGGAGCAGCAGCGGATGTGACATCAGCCCATCGAAGATCGCTGCATAGCATCGATGAGCTGGCGGCCAGTTCGTGTGACGCAACGAAAGTCAACACCACAACTATTACAACACAGGTGCAACAGCACCAACAACATCAAGCAGGAAATCTCAGTGGATCCAATATTAGCTCCGATGATGAGTCTATCTCAGAGGATGAATTTGGTCTAGAGATCGATGACCAAGGGGGTAAGTAGGTCTGATTTCAATGATTAATTCCGGAATTGGTTTAAAACGTTGGCAATATTCTGGATGAAATAATACAAACAAAATAAAAATTCTAACCGGCAAATGCAAATGGATTAATAAAAGCAGCATCCTAAAAAGGCTATTAACAGCGTAAAATATCATCTTACGGAAACGAAATCTACAGAAGTGCAAATACAACTCAATTGAATTATTTTATTCAATGGTACTCAGTACCACTTGCTATAAAACTCTACGAAAAGATATATTGCTGGAAGTTAACTGTTAATACACATACATACAAATAAGCAGATAGTTTAACGAGCGTGATTTTAGGTCAGGGGAAATAACCAGATCCCCAGATCCCAGATACATGTGCATTATTGTTACATCTGCAATTTCTTGTTACATACAAAAAAAAAAAAAAAAAAA